CAGGCATCTGCAGGGGAGGCTGTGGCCATGCCCAAGGGGGCTGTGGGCTGCAGGGGCACAGGCTGGGCTCCCAGGCACAGGGCCCCACTGCAAGGCTTGAAGGGGAGTCTCCCTCAGCGTTTACATCCATGACAGGTACAGAGCATGGCACATCTCTGTATGGCACATGGAGCTTTTCAGTGGGTCAGCAAAGATGCTTCCCTGGCTGGACAGACAGATTCCAGCACAGGAACTCCTTGGTGAGGGTGCTGAGGTGCCAGTGTCCCCATTCCCTGCCAGCCTCCTCTCAAGGACAGACCCTGCTCTCCCCAGACTCTGCAGCAGAGCAGTGCTGGGACAGCCCTGGCCAACTGGGATCACAAACCCTGCAAAAGAGGCTTTGTAAACTACACAAACACCAGCCAAGGAGCCAGTTTCTTTCTTCTCCTTTGTACTCTCAGTGCAGTCTGGCAGGGACGGCTGCGTGCAGGGAGCGAGGGCTGCAGCTGGCGCTGGGAGAGCTCGGTCTCCTGCTGAACCGCCCGCAGCTCCGGGGCAGGACAATGCAGCAAGTGAACACAACACACAAATGATCTGCAGCAAGCAGGCCCAATCCATTTGCTAGGGGAGAACAGCAGCGAGCAACTGGAAAAATCTGAATTCTCCTGTAGAACTGAGCCCGGCCTCACCTCCCACAGGCCACGGGTAAGTCCAGGGAGCTCTTTCAGGTGTCCTGGGAGTGTGAACCTCTCACAGATAACTGAAAACTGGGACAGCCTCTGCTTGGGGAGCCCTGAGTTTCCTTGAGAAGGTGTCCAATCCCTGAAACCAGAGAGCTCCCTGATACAGGAGATCCCAAGTGACACCTCAGATATTCCCGACCCTACAGTGGAAAAACCACCCCCAGAACCTGTGAGCCTGAGGACCCCCTTTGGGTGTGAGAAATCCCCATCTCCTGGCCCTAACACTGTTGAACTGTGTTTCACGGGCCCTGTGCTGGGAAGCAGCTGTCCTTGGCTCCAGCATCTCCAGAGCTCTGGAACTCAGACCCAAGAGATCTCCTGCCCAGATCAGGCACTGCTGCAGGTCTTTCTCCTACCTGGGCTTTGCAGAGCTGCTGATTGACACCATCACAAGAGCCTGATCCATTTTAAAGGTGGCAATCAGAAGCACACAGGGTGGTTCCTTGGTTTTGGTCAGAGGAGGTTTTGTTCACAGAACTGGAGCAGTGATGAGCACTCTTGTAAAATCCCAGCACTCTTAAAGGCCACATTTGGTCTAGAATAGACCCCAGAACCTTCAGGCTGCTCATTCAACATTTCAGCCACCAGCCTCCCATCCTTTTAAGTACTGGGAAGTGATGCTCACTCCTCACAGTCCTTTGAACGTTGTTGCTGTGCCAATGGGAGTCAAAGAATTGATATTCCCTATTGCATGGGATCTCCTGGAAGGGGATTTATTTATCATGGAACATATTATTTATTTCTAAGCTTCAATTTACAGACCCTCCCTGTCCCATCCTGGGCCAATGGAAGGAGACATCAGAGCCCTCCATTCAGGACTGACTGTGCTGTGAGGAACCTACCCAGGGAACTCAGCAGCAAACACAAACATTATCACGTTGTGTCAGGGAAAATTGTCAATGCAAGTGACCAAGAAAAACCTGCAAATGAGGCAGTTTCTTATGGCCATGGGGAGGAGCTGAGGGTTACAGTCACTGGGAAAAAGCACTGAACACATGGGACAGGTTCTGGGAAGCACCTAAACTGCATCCTGGGTTTTGAGTCTATACTCGAGAAATATAATCTTGCATTAGTGATAATAAAATTGATTGACCCAATAGACCCAAGATTATTAATATCTTCCCCTCCCATAAAAAAAAAATAATTTTTTAGGAACCTAAATATTAGGAAACTAAATATTATAAATAATCTGATGCTTCAGTTCAAAAGGGGAAGGACCAGCAGTTCAGACACCAATAAAGGGTTGTCTTTAGCACTGCTCCTTAGCCTGTATTAAATAAAAAAATGTGCACTTATCTGCTGTATGAACCCTTCTGTAGATGCTCTTCAGATGCTCTGCAGCTGCAGAAGAGCCTCACTGCTTTGTGACAGCCTTTTGGGGCTACAAGAAGAAATTAAGTCCTGCTTCGTATTGGGGCAACACGAGAAACTCAGATCAGAATATGAAGCTACAAATCATATGTGACTCAGGGCAATGTGACTGGCTCTCTCTTCACCAAGCAGAAATGTCTGGTGTGGCTCAAAGCCATCTTTCAACAGCAAAAGTAAGATCAGCTCCTTGAGGATCTGATTCCCAATTGCCTGTTTTGCCTCAAAAAGCTTTTGGAAAGATGAGTAGTAGAAATAGTAAAAATAATAGAAAATAGTATAATTGGGGTTTTTTTTGTGGTTTTTGTTCTGGCTACACACTGAAAGGAATATACTGCTGGGAGGGAGGAAGGGAGAAGAAGAGTTGGAAGTTGCCTTTAACGTTGCTTGGGCCAGCGAGAGGAACAGTGGTGACGATTTTCCTGCAGATATTGGGGTATGAGCTCAGACTCTGTCTCACACTTGATACCCAGCTGTGAGGCTGGAAGATGAGACAGGGGCAGTGGGAGCTGGCTGTGGAAGCTGGCCTTTCCCACGTACTGACACGTGCAGCACTGACCCCACAGCACACCTGGTCTCCTCTCCAGATGCCTCCACTAAATTTCTTCCTGAAAAGGAGGAAGGCAGCAAAATGTAGCAGCAGCTCACTGATGGAAGGGGAGAGGCAGCAGCTGGGTCCCCTCTCAGTAATTGTAGGGTAGATTTGGGCTTTGCCTTAACCTGCAGCAGCTGAACCAGACCAAGAAGAAGGAACATTCCCACTTGCCCAAGAGGAACTAAAATTTTGCTGAAATCAGACAAAATCTTCAGTGAATAAGATGCAGTAGCAGGGTATGGGCAGATCCTCCTGGACAAAGAGGACATCACACCTTCAGCACTCTTTTTGACAGACCTCTTGAAACTGCTTTGATGTGGGAAGTAAAGATTGTGCTCAGCTGTGTGATGTCCCAGCTGTGCCATGGACCGTGGAGGGAAAGGCTACAGAGACAGTGCAAGATGGAGAGAACTTCTCACCACTGCTGGCAGAAAACTTATCCTTGCTTCCTGCACACCCCCAGCTCTCTGTCCCCTCTGCTCCTTGTCTTCTTCTTCACTTCCCAACTGAAGTGCTTGCAGCAGGGGCCAAGCCCTGGACAGCTCAGGGCACTAAGAGGGAGAGTGCAGTGGTGGGGAAGAGGATGAGGAGCTGGACAGCCACGTATGGAAACATCAGAAATGATCACTTGAGGAAGTCCAGAGGAAGTGAAAGTATTTCAATGATGGCAACAGACCAGAGATGTGGACACATGTCATGGTTACAGGACAGCCCATGCAGGGACCCCAAGGACTTGGGGGCTGCAAGTTTTCCCTAAAACAGAACAGCAAGCTAACAGCCAGCTACTGGGCTCAAGCAACTTCTCTTTGTAAGCTCCTTTGCCATGGTAGAAAGAGGCCCAGAAAAAGAGACCTCAATTCTTTGAAGTGAGCACTGAAATTATTGCCAAGGACTCATGGCAAAAGATCGTGGGAAAAGACTTTCTATTGATTTTTTTTTTAATTAGTTACTTAAAGCTTCCTCATCTCGGCCAAGGAAATGTAACCATTCACTATTGCCTGCTGTTCAGAATAGCTCCTGCACCCATTCATCATGTACTAGGAGATGTAAGCTCCTTGTTCTAGGCTTGTAACTCCTTTGGGAAAGTTTTCAGTTAAGGCTAAGGCAGCTCTTCAGTTTTGGTTAGATTAGATATATCTTTTTAAATACTCTGAGATATCTTTGGATCTCGATCCCTTATGAGCAGCTGGGGCATTGCAGGGGCCAGCAGCAGATGCTGGGAAGCAGAGGTGAGAACCCTGCTGGAAGAGCTGTGGGACAGATGTTCCTGCACATCAGGTCCCATCACAGCCTGCACCTGGCAGGGTGGCAGAGGGGAGGTTCATTTCCTAAACTGACTCTGCTGCTTTTGCTGGGAGATTCTGGATAATTGTAGTTATGTACATGAGAGCCCAGGAGAGTCAGGAAAAACTGCATCAGGGTGATTTAGGAGATCTGCATTGTCAGCCAGCTGGAGTGCTTGGAAGTGCCCATCTCCACCAGCAAGATCCTAGGGCTGTTCTGCATTCCTGGGAAAGATTTTCACATCACTGATTCCTGTATGTGTAACTCCCCTCCAAGCTGCAGTGTGAGCCCCAGGAACAGTGGGGGCTGTTCCACTTCACCCAGGAAAAGGGTTTGTAGTGATCTTGAGCAGCAAGGAGCAGTGATGCTGATGGAGGAAAGGGTGAGAACCTGTGTTCTTCTCCACAGGGAGTATCGAGGGGGTACATGGATAGGAACAAACCAGCCTGGGAAAGTAATGGTGAAAGAAAGGGTGGATCCTGTGCCTGCCTCAGCCAGTCACCTTGGGGAAGTGACCTTGGCCTTATCTGCACAGAGACAACCAGGAAAATGAATCTGAATTAACCTTTGCAAATTGGATTAGCTAAACTTCATTAAACTGTCTATGTGGACATTCCTGTTCAGAATTCAAGCAGCTCCACTCATCCTGGCTTACCTCATGTTCACAATAAATGAGAAGAAAAGAAACTTAGCCTTTTTTTTCTTTTTTTTTCTTTTTCCATTGTGAGTAGGACTGTCCACACACCTGTTCTAAGTGGAGTTTAACTAAACCACTGTAACATCCAACTTCAGACTGACAATCCCTGGTGGTCTCACATTTCTTTGTCTTCCCACCACGCTGTCTATTTGGGCAAGGAGCTCTAGAGTCTCTGGATGAAGGAGCAGCTCTGATTGTATGCACAGACCATGCCTGCTGCAGGATCAACACAACCTGTGGATGAAATGTAGCCTCAAGCTGTGCCAGGGAGGTTAAGTTGGACATCAGGAGGAATTTCTTCAGAGAAAGGGTTGTCAAGCATTGGGCTGTCACCATCCCTGGGAGTGTTCAAGAAAGGACTGCACACTATTCTGGCTGACAAAGAAGTGTCAGGCACAGGTTGGACTCAGTAATCTCAGAAGTTTTTTCCAACCTGAAGGAAACTCTGTGACTTTGCAGAAGTGGTACCAGTGCAGTTGTAAAGCTGTTGATCTGAGTAAGAGAATGTCTACCAGGGATGGGTTGGTTTGAACCCAGCAAAAAACAAAGTCACATCACACCTGGTACCTAGAAAGGCAAGAAAATTGGCTGTGAGGATACAGAGTGAATAAGGGAATATTGAGTGGTTTCCCTTGCCTGTAGCAAAGCTTTCAATGCTTTCTCTCCCTAGAGCCAGGCTGGGGAGATATGGGCCCAACAAATGGGAAAGAAGGAGGCTGGAGCACTCACAGGGTGATGATCAGCAGTACAGAGCCTGCTTGGCAACTCATTGCTGTGGAGATCCTGGAGGGACTGGTGCTGATGGCCTGGATAATTGGGCACTCTCAGGAAGTTTTCAGATGCCACCAAAGGAAGCAGTGGGGAGGGAAGCACTTGACACCCAAGAGGCTGCAGCTGCTGTTGAGAGGGAGTGGAGCAATGGGCAGACAAGTGCACAGTCCTAATGGAATTACCTCACAAGGGAGCAGGACAGGCCAGGGGACAGCTGGGAAGCAGCTTGATAGGAAGCAGCTTTGTGGAAGTGGAGATGGGATTGCTGGAGAGTCAGGAACTGAACAGGGATCACTGCTGCTACACCTCAGCCGTGCTAGCAAGGAGGCAGGCAGCACATCAAGGCAGTGAGAATCCCCTTCATTTGGCCCTTCTGAGATTGTTTTGGAAACACTGGGTCCCACCTGAGGCTTCCTAGGACAAAACCAGCATTGAGAGATTGGAGCAGGTCCGGCAGAAACCACCAGGTACAAAGAGATGCAAAACCAGCTGGGTTTGTTCATCCTGGAGGAGAGTAGGAGGAAGATCAAACTGCTTTCTGCAGCTCCCTGAAGGAAAGGAGGGAAAAGACAGAACTCCTGGAGATGCAGAGCCAGCCTGGGTTGGTCTATGGTCTAAATTTGAGTTTTGAAACCCCAGACAGAGTGCCAGGCTCACCTGCAGTTCCTCAAAGGAAAGGGGTGCTCACACCATGATGCCAATCTACCTGAGAGTTTGAGGATGCTATCAGCATGTTTGGGCACTGCTGGTGAGAGTTAGAGCACTAGGTCCTCCATATTCCTATAAACTGGATTAGTGGAGTAGTAAACATATAATAAAGTAATGAAAAACATTTCTAGAGTGATTAATCTAACTGCTAATTGAGGAATCAGTCTGATCTCTCTTCATATGTAAAGGTGTGTTTGCCAAAGCTGCTCCTTGGAACTTGCTCATACCTTTCCATCAGTGGTTCCACATTTTCCTTTAGAACTCCAGTGAAGCCTGTGGGATGTGGCACTGAATTTACCTTTGCTCACCAGGCAGGAGACTGAGGCTCAGAGAAGCCAAGCAACTTGTTTGGAGTCACGGTGAGCACTGTGTTATGTAGATCATCAAAACGTTGAATGCCCCTGCCTGGTGTTCCTGCCTCAGGTGTTTCTCCCCCTGTTTTTAAACCTGGGCAGGGTCCACTCTCCCAGCTCAGCTGATGGATGGCAACTCATTAAGCAGGAGTCATGCAAGTGGGTCTCAGCCCAGCGATAATTCCCTAAGAACACACAGCCTCGCCTGTGTTCACACAGAGAAACTGCTTTTATATCCCTAACTGTCCCTGAACCTCTTATTACTCCCAATTTGAAGTCCTTTCCTGGGGCACTTTCAATAGGACGGCTGGAAAAACCAGGCTTTTCTAATATGTCTATTTTTATTTTTATTTTTTTTCAATTTAAGGAGATAATAATTACGGAGATCATTGTGTTGATGCTCCAGTAGACAATCAGAGAGGCTCAGCACCAAACTGCTGGCAGCAGGTGGACTGTGAATCGCTATCTGCTCCAGTCACCTGCCAGGAGTCCCCCACCCCTCCTCAAGCAGATCCACCGATGGGTTGTTGTGTATTTTTTGTTGTTGTTGTTGATTGCTGACATAAAAGAAGCTGAAACGACACCGTTTTAAGCTGAGTATCCAAGGCGACCTCATTAACATCTCTGCAGAGGAGCCCTTTAAAAAACATCAGTCACGGTGGTCCTGAGTGGAACAGAAACCGTTCTGTGTTTTCTTGATCAATTGCTTAAAATTCAAGGTCGGGGTGCGGAGCAGGGAGGGCTCCCCGCCAGTCACTGCGGGGTTGGGCTGAGGGTTTTTTTGGAAAATAGTGATGCTGTCGTACTGGAGAAAATCCATGCACTCCCTCAGAGGAGCACTATTGGGAATAAATGCTGGAAGCTGTTCCACTTGAGCAGATGGCTGAAAAACTTTGGCTGAGAAATAAATTGAGTATGACGGTCTGAGGGCCAATCACAGATGGATGAAATTCTAGTGATGTCCCAAATGTCCTGAACATAGAAGGTTCTCTTCTTTCCCCTTTTGTGCTAAAAAACCATAGTAGGATTTTTAATACAGGCTGAAAAAACACTGATGGAGTGAGACACAGAGATAACGCTTTAATGTCCTCTGGATCAGCAGCACGTTCAGGGCAGCCCCGAGGTTCTGCCACCTCCAGGTCAGTAGTGGAGGAAAGTGCTGATCATGCAGGGACCATGATGGAAGGGCTGGGAAATGTCCCTGTGCTCCTTCACACCCAGCCTGGTGCCCACGTGCAGCACCAGACGTTCAAATATTCCTGCTGAATTCAAGTCGTGCAGAACCCAAAAGCAAATTTATTTTTTTCTTCAGGATCTTTCAGCCCAGCCTCAGGGTAGACTGGAAAACTGTGCTCTAACTGGTGTTAAATGGAGAAGTCACCAGGAACTCCTTCCCAGGGATGACCCTGGAGGTGTATGACCTTAACAACCACTCTCCCTCCAGTGCAGCACATAAAGGAGCTGTGAGCTCTGGGTTTCAAATCACGGGCTCTGGGATCCAACCCAGTGCAGATCCCAGACTTCCACTCATCTCTGCTCAGGCTCAGAAGGGAGATGAGCCACATTTCAAGTGGCACATGTCTTGCATGTCCTGAAAACACCCTGAGCCCAGATCCTCCCCTCCCAATTCCTCAATTGACAGGATGCCATGAGAGCTGGTGAGACATCAGCTGTGAGTTAGGGTAGTGGAGCCTGGCAATCAGCAGCACCCGAGCCCAGTGGCATTCCACAGGGACCCAGCCCCCTGTAGTGTGAGAACCAGGGGACAGAACAAACCTGTGCCTTTTCTAGCAGACAGATGAGGCCATACTCACACCCTATTTTCCTTTCCTTGAGCAGCTCCTTCCCATCCATTATCTGTCATGATCAGACAAGCTCATGCATGTGAAGGCTGTTAGGACCCAGCCCCAACATCAAATCTCGTGGGGCAACATCAGCAGCTTCCCACAGAAAAGCTCTTGTGTGGTCAAGTGACCAGCTGGAACGATTATGTGGGATTTAATCATTGCTTCAACCATACAGGACACCATAACCCCATGGAGCTGCAAAAAGGGTCTGTGCTGCCTGTGAAACCTTGGTGCCAGCCTGCTTTTGCATGGGGAACCAGCTGGTGATCCATGGCCAGGTCAGTGACAGCTGTGACATGTGAGACCACACCGTGAGGACTTGTCAGGACTCACTGAAAGCTGCATGAGAGGTGGACAGGGTTACAATATTTCCTGGCAGCCCTGTCTGAGAGCACTGCCTGTGGGACTGGGACAGATATTAAAGGCTGGACTTAGCCTGCATCTGCAGTGCCCAGCAAAGGCTTTATCAAATGAGCTTATCAGCAATGCTGCTTATTCCTCTCAGCCAGGGGCTGGTATGTGATGTATTATCCACCCTCAGCCCTTTCTGGCAGATGCCCCTTTAAAACCCACGATTTGAAAACAGCCTTTTCATCTCAGGGATGTATTGGGGTCTTTAACAAACATACATTCACATTCATATAATCTATGTGGATTCAGTAGCAGAGACAAAAAAATGAGAATCTGAAAAATTCCAGAGGGAAGGGGATGTGAAGCCTGTGCTGCCAGTGCAGAAAGCAGGACCTCCCATGTCCCTGTGACTTCAGGCCAAGCTCACCCCACGTTTACAGGTTGAGTCTGGCACTCAGGGTGTCCTGCCTGGTCCCACACCAAGCTGGCAGAGGAACTTGAGATACTGGGAAAGACTCCACAGAGGAGTTTGGGCTGGGCTCTGCTTTTGCACTGTGGTGGAGCAGGAGGGGGAGTCCAGGTTTGGAGATGTTTTGCTGTCTTCTCCAAGGGCCCAGGTGTAGCTCCCACAGGACATGTTCAGTGCAAGCAGAGAGGAGGGGTGGGTGGCACACACACACCAAGCCTGGTGCCTCACTCCCTGTCCCATGGTACATGGCAAGGGCCACTCTCTGTCCCCACCACCAAAATCTGCTAAAAGATGTCATGGCTGTGGTGTGACACAGCTGTCCAAAGGCTCAGCACCTGTCCCCAGCACTGACCAACACCCAGGACAGCGTTATCTTCCCCATGATATCCTTCCAGGCTGCAATAGGCTGTGGTTTAGAGACTTCCTGACCCAGAGTTAAAGCCCTTGTATTGAGTCACCCTCAATTCCTCAATGGATTTCTTTTCCATGACCTTGTTTGTGAGTTGGCACCCCCCAGTAAAGTCAGGAATCCAAGTGCTTCATTACAAGCATTTTCTTTACCATTTCCTGATTAATCATCCCCGCCACCACGGCCATTAGAGCGGTTCCTAGAGAGAGAGCAGTCCTAGGGCTCATTGGTCAGGCACCAGCAGCACACAGCCCACACTCAGGGGGCTCCCCACGGAGCAGCTGAGCACAGCCAGCACTGGGATGTGGGCAAATTCACAGCCCCAGGAGGAGGGCACGGGAGGGATCCGGCTACGAGGCCTCAGAGCAGCAAGGGAGGGACATCAGGGGAAAGCAAGACAAGGGGAATGGAGAATTGAAACTGGAGATGCAGATGGATTAAATAGTTAATCTGCATTATAAACAGCACAGGTGAGAGTCAGCTCCTGAATCCCTTAATCCAGTTATTACCATTCAACGTGGTCATTTCCTCTCGTTCTGATGCACCGCTCATCCTTCAGCTTTGGAAAAACAACAGTAGCATCAACCACAAATAAAAAGGGACACAAAAGAACTTTGTTTGTGCAGTTTGGGGTTTCCCTCCTGTAAAAATGCACCAACTCTTGTAAGGGAGAACATCTTTGGGATAACAGGGCTGCATCAGCCATGTGTTGATGAGTTGAAGATTCTGAGTAACTCAGAAGTGACAAGGTTGATACTTGGAGTCAAATCTTCTGGGCTCCTGTCAGTCCAGCAGGGCAGGACAGAGCACATGTGACCTCATGAGAATTTATCAGAGGCAGACACAGGGTGTTTGAGTGGTGGTGCTTTAGCCTACAACCCACACAGGGGCCAGAAACCAGGGGACCCAGCACATGAGGAAATACCAGGGCATGGATGGGAGGATGGAGGAAACACCTTGAAAGGATGAGGGCAAGGAGGCCTGGATCTGCTCACAAACAATTTGTGACCCAAAAAGAGGAGGCAAAACTCCTGGACTGTGCATCCCCAGCTGCTGATGCCCCGACCCATCCTTAGGCAGACACGAGTCCTTCGCGTGGCGGGAAGCGCCAGCCCTGCCATGGCAGCTGTGTCCCGCGTGCCACGTCACAGCGGGACAGCAGTGACGGGGCCCTGGCTGTGGGAGGCTGGCCCAGCTGTGACCCAGCACGTCTGACAGGGGTGGGAGAACCCAGCGCCTTCCCCAGGGCCGTGTGAAAATCAAAGGAAGCCTCTCCGTGCAGGAGAGGGGTTGTTGGCTTGGGAAGGTGAATCCATCTGACACAAAAAGCCCTGAGTCCCTGTTGTGTCTCACGGAGCCACAGGTACCTGTGGGGAAAGTGCTGTCCTTGATTTCCCATCCAAGTGCTTTATGTCTCAGTTACGTGCCCCTGAACATGCCAGGACCCTCATTTCAGGGGAGAGCAAGGCAGGGGCCTGCAGATCCTGGAATTTCAGCCAGTTCTGGAGGTGTGTTTGAAGGCAGCAAAGATTGTCTTCTAGCCCAACACAGAGACAGGGACTTGAGGTGCAAGATGGAGCAGAGCAGATCCATCCAAAAAGCTGAATTCAGACATCATGTTTCAGGGAAAAGGACTGGATTCAGCCACTTTGGCCGAGAAATAAATGGAGTATGATGGTCTGAGGGTCAATCACAGATGGATGAAATTCTAGCCATGTCCCAAATGTCCTGAACATAGAAGGTTCTCTTCTTTCCCCTTTTGTGCTAAAAAAACATGGTAGGATTTTTAATACAGACTGAAAAAACATTGATGGAGTTCCTTTTCAGGAACCACCTGGGATTTCAGCAGGCAGATTGATTAAATGAGATGGAACTTTCTCCAGCTGCATGGAATCATTTGACAAGCTGTCCCAGGAGTGCACAGGACAAAGAGGTGGCAGGGGTAGTGCTACTCCTGCTGGTCCATGTCCTTCTTGTGCTGTGGCCTGGATGCAGTCTGAAGATTCCCCTTAGTGCTTCCTCTGGAGGAAAGATGATGTAGAGGAGAACATTGTGCTAAAGCAGTGCTGGTGCCATGCCTTTATTGCCTGATAGGGAAATCATGTTCTCTAAAAAATGAAAAAAAAATTAAAATAATAATAAAAAAACCCACCCCAAATAATAATAAAAAAACCCACCCCCCAACAAAATCAATAATAAACCATACTTATTTAGAGGCATTTTCTCAGTCCTGCA